CAGACTTTCTCAGAAGCTCCTAGATCCTCACAGCATAATGCTCAGCAAGTTCCTGTTGTGAGTCTGGTAGCTGGAGGCTATTTCCAAGGCCAGGTAAAATAATTCCATTCTAATACCCCTACTATAGGGAAGTGGACAGATTGACTGTGTCCCCACTTTCCATAGAAATGGAATGGAATTTGACAGTGGGGAATTTTAACTGAGTATCCCAGTCTCGAATGCATTTTAAAACTTTTTTTTCTTTCTTGCCTTCCATCTTGAAACATAATTTGAAACTCTTTGTTTCTCTCTTTTCCACAAGGCACTTCTGTGAACAACTGTTCACTTACCTAATTATGTGCTTGCTTAAAAATTCCAGGGGCCAATTTTGAAACAAATCAGGCAGAGAGACCCCAGTGTGGAATCTTCCCAGTCAAGGGGAGTTAGAAACAGTGAGCTCACTACAACGAGGCCAAAGTCAGGATGTTGCAAACTGGATCTCTTGACGGGTGATTACTCAAGAGAGCTTCTAGAACGAGAGGTGTAGCTCTCCTTTTCACCACTCCCACATGTTTCTCACACGTTTTTCTTCTTAAATCCCTCACTCATCCCAGCAGGATGAGATGGCTCCTTTGAGGCGTAAGCCCAGCTGTTCTCACATTTGCAAACATTTGACCAATAAAAGCCGCTTTCCTTCTACCACACCTCACTTCTCATGCTTCGACTTCAGAGTGGTGAGTAGCCAGACTTGAGCCGGTTATAGGAGGGTAAAGGGAGTCGTTAAAATGAGAGGCTCCATGTGGGTGGTGTGCCTGGGACGGAGAAGTGTGGTGAACTCAGCTGTTGCCTGGGTCCAGAAAAGAGGGCCAACCACTTTTGGGATCACTCACAATTAGGAACGCATCCGTTGCCCCAGTGAAAGAGAAAGACAGTGATAAACAAAGAGAAATGACCCTCTTTTCTTGGCTCTACTCCCTGCCTCCACCCAGCAGGGCGTTTAATCAGCACTAGAGTTCCATGCACCACGGATGGCAGACACAAATGTCTCAGGTCCAGGCAAGAAAAGGTGACTTTTAATACATCCAACATATCTGTAGGATGCAGTGGGAGATGTCTTTCCAAGGTCCTGTTCTGATAGGTAGTCAGTTTTCCAGCAACATCCCTTTTTTTGCTGAATGCACATGGGCTTTGACTTACAGGAGTTCCAACATAGGTGCTCTGGTCTCTACCTACTGTGGTATTAATTGACTCCTAAGCTGAACTCATTGTGTTCTGATTACAGTGGCTTTCTAGAAAGGTGTGACATCTAGTCAGAAAAGTGCTTCTCACATTTTTGCTGACCTGGGCTCTTGTTAAAAGGCAGATTCTGACAGGCAGGTCTGGGTGGGCTTTGTGATCCTGAGCCCCTAAGAGGCTCCTGGATGATGTAGTTGCTGCTGGTCCTGATCTGAGGTAATGAGCTCTAGAGCTCATTCTGCTTCTCACTTTTTTCACTCTGTGTTGTTTTTAAGATCTTTTCATCTTGCATGGCTTCTGATGGGTAAATGATCTATTCCATGGTGTGCACTCCCCAGTTCTCTGATTCAGTCATTTTTGAATGGACCCTGGCTGCTTTCAGCTCCTTACACAGCAGTGCTGAGGGCAGCATCTGCATGGTGTCCCCCACTGGCTGCAGGAGAGCTTGTCCAGGGTGTGTGCATGCACTTAATTTATAGAGGCCCCCATTTGTTGACAGTGGCTGCAACATATCAGCCTCTCAGCACCCGCGCCAAGAAGCAATGCCAACACTTGGCATACCCAGTGTTTTGTTATTCTGATGGGCTAAAGTGACCCACATCTGTGTTAATTTGCATTTTCCAATAAATCATGTATTCTCTTCACGTTTGGAAGCACTTGGAGTTTCTTTCTGTTTTTGCCTATTTTCATCCTTTGTCTGCTTTTCTAAAACAGTTGTAGTCTTCTGCTTGGTAATTTACAGAGATATATCGGTATCTGTGTATATTACACTAGATAGCAGTCCCTTTTCCATTTCAGACATTGAATATATCTTGCTCCTGTCCATTACCTGCCTCTTAAGTTTGTCTCAAGTGTCCTTTGTCAAGCAGAAATCCTTGATTTTGATGTAAACAAATTCATCCCTTTGGCCTGGTGATTTTTACTTTCTGGGTTTTACGAAGTCCTTCCTTACCTCTAAGCCATAATTCTCCCACATCATTTTTCATTCACTTATGGTTTTATTTTTTACTTTGAGGTTTTTAATCCTTCTAGAAGCTACCCCTGTGTATGGTGAATATGGAGAAAAATGAAACTGTACATACACTACCACCATCTACAAAGTGATAGCATTTTTATTTATAGATAGCATTTTATTTATATTATTAATTTGGGGACACTTGACTTCCTTATACTGTTAAGTTACGTACACTGAAGAACACTAAATGTCTCTGTTTTTTAGGTCTTTAAAAGAAAGCCTCACTTAAAATTTTCCCCTAGAATTTTATATACTCTTTGCTAAGGCAATTCCTAGACACTACATATTTTATTGCTGTCATGAATAATATCTAATTTATTATATTTTCTAACTGGTATGGAGAAATGCCATTGAGTTTTATTAAGTTTTGTATCCATCAGCCTTGTTGAATTCTTAATAGGTGTCAAGGCTTGTATTTTGACGATTTTGGTTTTTTATAGATTTATATAAATAATGTCATAAATGACATGTAATAAAATGTCTCTAAATAAAATGACATATGTTTATTTACACAGCTATAAATACAATTTTAGGTCTTCTCTTTACAATCCTCACTCTTCTTATATCTGCCTTTTTCCTCCTAGCATTCACCAGCCGTCCTGCACTGTGATAAACCCTAGCAATGATAACTACATCCCTGCCTTGGGACCCTTCTTTAAGAGGGTGTGTCTGAAGTTTCCTCTTTATTATAGTGTTTTGACATGTAATCTTTACAAAAGATAAGGAAGTTCTTTTTTATTCCTCGATTGTTATAAAGTTATTATTGTTGCTGCCATTGTAATTATTATCACTGTAAATAGGTGAATTTTATCAATAATTTATCTGTATCTATAATCATATACATTTTCTTATTTAATAAATCATAAATAATGGTAATATATTTTCTAATTTTGAACCATCCTTGCATTCTTGAGATAAACCCTACCTGGTTACAACTTATATTTTAATACATTTACATTATGTTAGCTAATATTTTACTTAAGCTTTTGCATTTACACTTGTAAGTAATATGAGCTTCTTTCCTTTTTAGATTTAGTTTAGGGATCAAGGTTACACCAGCTTCCTAATATGAGCTGAGCAATCTTTACTTTTTTTGACACTGATTTAATAACCCCTTAAGAGTTGGTTGCAAATCTCCCACAAAACTGTCTAGACAGGGGGCTCATTGGAAGGAGAATTATTAGATTGCAATTTATCTAGCAATCATTGGCTTATTCAAATTTTCTATTTCTTTTTGTGCCAATTTTTGCATTTTCTATTTTCTTAGAACTTCATCCACATTATTTAGGCTTGCCGATTTATCCACAAGTAGTTATTGTAATCTTTTACTACTGTCCAAAGCAAATCCCTCTTTTGTCCCATTAGTATATGTTTTTCCACTCTCTCTTCCTCTCCCATTTCACTGTGCTTTGGTGTCACTGGTCTCACTGTTCTCACTTCCACTGATTTCTGCCCCTTACCTTCTTGCTTTAGGTTTGCCTTGATTCTCATTTTCTAATGTCTTTATGTGAATGTTTAATGCATTTTTTCCCTATGTTTTTGGTTCCTGGTAATTTTGCTTAAAATCGTAAATTTCCCATTAAATTGTGATTGACTGCAACATTTTTATACTGTTGATTTATGACATTTTAACATTTTTCAGATTTATTTTTTAAACCAAGAGTTATTTAGTAATGTGGAATTCAGTTTCTAGCCAAAATTCCTTCACTATTAGGTTCTAATTGTATTATGTGATTATTTTCAAATGAAGACTCCATGATGGTGACTCAGTGGAACAAGTTGAGGTTTCCTTTGTGGTATAGGGAATGGTGACAAATGTCTGTTAGTATTTCACACATGTTCAAAAATATGTATTCTCTGTATTTGGCAGTGGGGGGTGGGAGTATAGATCTCTATGTATTTAAAATAGCTCAAACTTATTGATTAAATTATTCAGTGGTTTTAGTTCAATCCTGTCAGGGGCAACTTAAGGGATATTGCAATTGATATCTTTTTCCTACCATAATGTGTGGCTGGGTCAGGTAAAAATTAGCCAGGGTTCTTTAGAGAAATGGAACAAATAGAGAGAGAGAGAGAGAGAGAGAGAGAGAGAGAGAGAGAAGAAACAGATATATTATAAAGAGTTAGCTCATGTGATTATGGAAGCTGACAAGTCCCAAAATCTGCAAGTTGACAAATTAAAAACCCAGGAGAATCAGTGGTGTAGTTCCAGTCTAAATGCAGACAGGCTCAAGACTGAGGAAGAGCTGATGTTTCAGTTCTAGTCCAAAGGCAAGAAAAAGCCAATGCCCCAGTTCAAAGGCAGTCAAACAGGAAGAATTCTCTTATATTTGGTCTGCCTTTTTGCTCTGATCAGGCCTCCAATTGATGGGATGAGGCCCACTTAAATTGTAGAGGGCAATCCACTTTACTTAGTCTACATATTTAAATGTTAATCTCATCTAAAAACACCCTCACAGCAACACCCAGAATAATGTTTGACCAAATATCTGGGCACCCTGTGGCCCAGTCAAGTTGATACATAAAATTAACTGTTACAGTGTAAAGCACATGTGGGAAAATCAACTTGAGGAAGGTGGAAGAACACTTTGCCTGTCATAACAGGAGAGCGGGCCCTGAATGTACTAAATGTGAAACCATAAGTGAGCGTCTTTTTGTCAGCAGGATGTAGCAGGACTGTGGCATAATAAAAAATAAATATCTGGTCTTTGTCTTGGCATGGAGTTCCTAAAACGCTTGGAATCTCCTGAGTGATAAGAATGTCTTTTGTGTGCTTGCTTTGGCAGCACAGTTACTAAAATTGGAATGATACAGAGAAGATTAGCATGGCTTCTGTGCAAAGATGACATGCAAATTCATGAAGTATTTCAATTAATTAAAAAAAAACGTCTTTTGTAAGCTAGTGAGATGATTGGTGGATGTGAGCCCCTACATAGCTTCAGGATCAGGGCTGATCACCAGAAAGACTAAGCCATGACTAGAGGATTGGGAATTTCAGAACCACCCCCCAAACCTCCAGGAAGGGGAAAGAGGCTAGAAATTGACAGCAATTATCCATGGTCAATTATTTCATTAATCATGCCCATGTAACAAGGTCTCCATAAAGTCCCCTAAACAACAGGGTTTGGAGAGCTTCCAGGTTGATGAACACATGGAAGTGCTGGGAAGTGTGTGTTCAGCAAGGTTGTGGAAACCCCGCACCCCTTCCGAGACTTGGCCATATGCATCTCTCCCATCTGGCTGTTCCTGAGTTGCATTCTTTATCACAAGCCAGGAATGGTGAGTGCAGCACTGTGAGTGGTCCTAGTAGACTCTTGAACCTAAGGGGAGAGGGCTGTGGGAATCCCCAAATTTGCAGTTGCCTAGGCAGAAGAGGGTAGCCCATTTGTGGCTGGTATCTACAGAAAGGACAGTCATGTGGGACTGGGCCCTTCAATTGGTGGAGCCCAAGGCTAACTCTGGGTAGTTAGCATAGGAACTGAATTGTTGAATTCCAAGTTAGTATAGGAGAATTGAAGAGTTGGTATCAGGGGGAAGAAGAACCCTGCAAAAGCTTATAGGGACTTGTATTTTCTCTGTGAAGTAAGAGGTAAGGTCGTCTAACAAGACAGAACCTGGTTCAATAATACAAGGAAGATCTAAATAATAAAAGTAAGAAGTACAGCTCTATTGGGAGACAGTGTGGTGTGGTGGCTGATGGGGGGAGCTGGAAGACTGATGACATCCTCACCATGTTACTAACTGGTGACCTTGGGAGGTCACTTATTCACCCTCTGTCTCTGTGTTTTCATCTGTAAGATGGGGGAGAATTGTAGGCTTGAAGTTCTTGTGACAAATACAAGAAGGATCCCACCATGTCCTTAGCTCTCACTAATCAATGATTTACTTATTGTTTTAATTTATTTATTTTTATTTTTTTAAATTTATTTACTTTAGGTGCATACTATATCTGGCATTTCTCCCCATGTTATCCCTCCCCACCCTCCTCTCTCTCCCCACTCCCCGCTGTCTCTCCCTACCCCCCTCAACTGCCCCCAGTGTGTGATGCTCCTCTCCCTGAGTCCACATGTTCTCGTTGTTTAACAGCCACCTATGAGTGAGAACATACGGTGTTTGGCTTTCTGTTCTTGTGTTAGTTTGCTGAGAATGATTGTTTCCATATTCATCCAAGTCCCTACAAAGGACACAAACTCGTTTTTTATGGCTGTGTAGTATTCCATAGTGTACATGTACCACATTTCTTTGACCAGTCTATCATTGATGAGCATTTGGGTTGGTTCTATGAAAGTCTAGTATTTCTTTTTTTTTGAGACAGAGTTTCCAGGAGACACTCAGAAACAGGTTGTTCAGTTTCCAAGTGGTTGTGCGGGTTTGCGTGTGTTTCTTGTTTCTGAGTCCTAGCCTGACTGTGCTGTGGTCTGATAGACTGTTTGTTATGATTTATATTCTTTTGCATTTGCTAAGGAGTGATTTGCTTCCAATGATATGGTCAATTTTAGAGTATGTGCAATGTGGTGCTGAGAAAAATGTATATTCTGTGGATTTGGGGTGTGGCGTTCTGTATATGTGTATTAGGTCCACTTGGTCCAGCTCTGCATTCAAGTCCTGGATATCCTTGCTAATTTTCTGTCTCATTGATCTAATATTGACAATGGAGTGTTGAAATCTCCCACTATTATTGTGTGGGAGTCTAAATCTCATTTTAGGTCATTAAGAAGTTGCTTTATGTATCTGGGTGCTCCTGTGTTGGGGGCATATGTATTTAGGTTACTTAGTTCTTCCTGTTGGATTGATCCTTTTACCATTATGTAGTGTCCTTCTTTGTCTCTTTTGATCTTTGTTGAAGTCCATTTTATTACAACCCCTGCTTTTTTTTTTTTTTTTGTTCTCCATTTGCTTGGGAAATCTTCTATCCCTTTATTTTGAGTCTATGTGTGTCTTTGTATGTGAGATGGGTTTCCTGAATACAGCACACTGATGATTTTATTTCTCCTTCACTTACGAAGCTTAGTTTGGCTGGAGATGAGATTTTGGGTTGAAAGTTCTTTTCTTTAAGGATGTTGAATATTGGCCCCTACTCTCTTCTGGCTTGTAGGGTTTCTGCAGAGAGATCTGCTGTGAGTCTGATTGGCTTCCCTCTGTGGGTGACCTGGCCTTTCTCTCTGGCTGCCCTGAGCATTTTTTCCTTCATTTTAACCCTGGTGAATCTGATGATTATGTGCCTTGGGGTTGCTCTTCCTGAGGAATATCTCTGTATTTCTTGAATTTGAAATTTGGTCTGCCTTGCTAGGCTTGGGAAGTTCTCCTGGATAATATCCTGGAACATGTTTTCCAGCTTGGATTCATTCTCCCCATCATACTCAGGTACACCGATCAAGTGTAGATTAGGTCTTCTCACATGATCCTATATTTTTTGGAGGCTTTGTTCATTTCTTTTCACTCTATTTTCTCTTGTCTTGCCTTCTCTTTTTATTTCATTGAGTTGGTCTTCAGTCTCCGATATCCTTTCTTCTCCTTGATTGATCTGGCTATTAAAACTTGTGTTTGCTTCACATAGTTCTTGTGCTGTGTTTTTCAATTCCATCAAGTTGTTTATGTTCTTCTCTATGCTGGTTATTCCAATTAGCATTTTGTCTAACTTTTTTTCAAGGTTTTTGGTTGCTTTGCATTGAGTTAGAACATGTTCCTTTAGCTCAGAAATGTTTGTTATTAGCCACCTTCTGAAGCCTATTTCTGTCAATTCGTCATACTCCTCAGTCAAGTTGTGATCCTGTGTTATTGAGGAGTTGTGATGCCTTGAAGGAGAAGAGGTGTTCTGGTCTTTGATGGTTTCATCTTTTTTGTGCTGTTTTTCCCCATCTTTGTGGATTTACCTGGCTGTGGTGTCAGGGAGCTGCTAGATGAGGTTGCTTGTCTGCCCAGGAAGGCCAGGTTTCTCTAGTTCTCTAACATCACATTCCTATATAAATTCTGCTGTGCAGTGTCCAGGCATTGCCACTCCTCCAGAGAGAATTCTATGGCCACATCCCTATATGTCAACAGTTCCTCTGCACCCAGCACCCGACTCTGCACCTGGCACCAGGCTCTGCACTCGGCACCTAGCTCTGCTGCATGGCTCCCCTCTACTTATTTTTAAATATTTATTTATTTATACTTTTAAAACAACAAATAAAAATTATATTGAGATAATGATGTCTTGATATATATATATATATATATATGCTCATTAATTATCAGCTGCTGTTATAATTATTTGCAGTGACACTGTTTTCTACCTAAAAAACCAAGAGAAGAGGTTGAAAAACTTCTAAAATATTTTTAAGAACTGTTACTAAGTTGGCAGGGAAAAATCCAAAGCTTTTCTAAATATCAGCATTAATCAGAAAGAGAATATTATGGATAAGACTTCAACTGCAAAAGCAAAAAATGCTGAATAAAATATAACAAAAATGAACCCAAAAATTCATATGGAAAAGTAAAAGTCCATGGAAGTGTATAAGGTAGGGGAAGACATTCTCTACCAAACATGTAAACTTATTAGGAAAGCACAATAATTAAAGACAGTTTGGTATCATAGGAATTTAAAAAAAATAAATGAAGTAGTATAAAACAGCTCTGATCCTAGATTAGAACACTGATATGCCACAGAGATGCCATAATAAATTGCCACTTTATGTAAATGGTTCTGGGAAATTGGCTATTTAAATGGAAATTTAAAAATTCATTCCCCTATATCATACCATGCACAAGAATAAATTCCAAATGGATTAAGTGCCTAAATTTGAAACATGTTTAACATTAAAGGAAACAAATCAGAAAATATCTTTATGACATTGGTGTAGGGAAAAACTTCTTGAACAAGACATAAAGGATAAGATTAATTAATTTTACTACATTAAAATGGAAACTTTTAGGTGATAAGAGACACCAGTGACAAAGCAAACAGATATACCCCGGAAGGAAAAAGACACATGCAATGTCCAAAACCAACGGAGAATTAGCCCCCAGCTGACAGAAGAACTCCTACAACTCAGCAGGAAAAAGACAAAAATCTGCACAGAAAAATAAGCAGAGACTGGAAACAGGCAATTCAGAGGAGAAGAAATCTAAATGACCAAAAAAAAAAAAAAAACATGAAAACATAATGAAGCCCATTAAAACACAGGAAATGCATATTAAAACTATCATAAGATGTTATTCCATACCCATCACCTCCGCAAAATGTATGAAGTGTAACAGTAAGCAAGTGTTGGTGGAATGTGGAGCAGTGGGAACTCTGGTGCCTGCTGGTGGAGTTTAAACTGGCACAGCCACTTTAGAGAACAATTTGGTATTTTCTAGTAAAGCTGAAGATACACATACCTCATGGCCTAGAAATTCCACTTCTAAGTATCCAGCCTAGAGAACCTCTGAAGTATGTGTAGGAGGAGAAATATGCAAGGATGTTTGCTATTTTTAATGATTAAAAATAACAGTAATAACATGAAAACAACCTAAATGTCCATCAGCAGGAAATTGGATATCTGACTCACCAAGTGTGGGATTTTGATGCAGCAATGAACACGAGTGAAATACCTTTTCATTGATATATTTCAAAAATCTAATGCTGGTAGAAAAAACATTAACAAACAAGTTAACAAACAAGATTTACAGTGTGATATGTAAAGCTTTAATGAATGTAAAACAATTCTACACATTGTTTAGAGACACATGCATGTTTAGTGAAAGTGTACAATTGGATGGCAGTTAGCAAAAGAGGTGAGTTGTGGGGAGAGAGATTGGAGAAGAGCAAAAAGAGCTTAAGTGTAATTAAAAAAAAAATCTCAAATAAATTGTGCCATAGTACTAAATTTGTTACATTTGTCAAATTGTAGTGG